TCCAGAGGCGTCCCTCCTCCACCTCCTCTCCTGGTCCAGAGGCGTCCCTCCTCCACCTCCTCTCCTGGTGCAGAGGCGTCCCTCCTCCCCCTCCTCTCCTGGTGCAGAGGCGTCCCTCCTCCCCCTCTCTCCTGGTCCAGAGGCGTCCCTCCTCCCCCTCCTCTCCTGGTCCAGAGGCGTCCCTCCTCCCCCTCCTCTCCTGGTCCAGAGGCGTCGACCCTCCACCTGCTCTGGAGCCGTTCTCCTCTCCTCCCCTGCTCCGCAGGCGTCCCCCTCCCCCTTCCCTTCCCCCTGCTCTACAGGCGTCCCCCTCCCCTCCTCTCCCTTCCTGTTATGTAGGCGTCCCACCTCCTCCTCTTCTCTCGCCCAGATCACCTAGATCGGAATAAGTGCCGATGCCTCATTCATATTCCCATCGCGTTCTTTCTACGTCCTCCTTCGCGTCCTTCTGGGTCCACTACGATCATGCAAGCTTAGTACTAGTCGGTACTCAGACAAGAAGGCTCACGCTCTGCCGTCAATGTGCCCTCGGCCGCATTCAGAGGAAATCCAATTAGGCAGTCGAAGCCCCCTTACCACCCTCTCTCGGCATCATCAATTCGCGAGCGCACCTCTCCGTGAATGCAGGAACGGAGAGCGAGAGAGAACCCACGTTAAGTACTAGCACTTGACCAACGCCGCATACTTAATATGAAGCATCGTCTTGCTGTCTACCCTCGGGGGCGCAACTCGGGGGCATGAACGTCGGGGGTGGGAGGGAGGAGGCAGGGGATGGGAGGGAAGAGGCAGGGGATGGGAGGGAGGAGGCGAGGGGATGGGAGGGAGGAGGCAGGGGATGGGAAGGAGGCAGGGGAGACGTGAGGGAAGAGGGAGGAAGAGGAGCTTTCGTTTAACAATCTCTCGATGTTTCTCGGCGGACGTATACGTTTATTATTCAATAATGAAAACAATAAACGCCGGATGAACAACACCAGCGCGGTTACTGAAAAATTTCCCCGATCGCTGTAATCATTATAGCGACGTAAACAAGCGACTTCCGGATCCGTCGCCTGCGATAGACGGTCGTGTAAATTTAATTCCGTTTCGCGTACGTGCGAGATAGGTGGACGCACGCACGCACGCACGCGATCACGTGACGTGTCACGGCCCGCGAGTTGAGAAGCCAAAAGCGAGCGCGCTGCAAAAAAGCCCGGCACTCTAATTCCGCGGCATTCTGTGATTTAACGACTGCCTTCGAATTTTTGCTGCATTATGATGATAATAATTTATGCGTGCACGCGCGCTTCGTTTTCCGGCTTTTACAAAGTTTAAATTATGTGTTTTTTACGCGATACAGTGCATGTGTTTCGTTGTGGTATACAGTGTTCAATTTTTAGATTATATGGTAATATAATATTTGGATTCTTGATTATATGGTAATGTTCTTGGCTGTTTTAACGCGCTTAGGAAGAGTAAATTAATTATATCGAGTCATGTATCGGCTTGCAGGATTGCTAATAAGCACTTCTTCTTGACTTTAAAATTTGCCAGTCTATAATGAGGACGTCACCTGTAAGTTTTTTTCATCACAATTTCTTTATTGGAGTGAATTTTATCTTGATGTTTCATTTTTTAATCTGTGATATTATTGTGCACGGTGGGGACGCGTGGGCCTGAGGGTACCTCCTTCGGTAATGGTGTTATAGCTATTTCTTCCTCTCTCACCCTCCCTCTCCCCCTTCACTCTCTACCTCTACCTCTCTCTCTCTCTCTCTCTCTCTCTCTATCTCTCTCTCTCTCTCTCTCTCTCTCTCTCTCTCTCTCTTTNTGCTGCTGCATCACAATCATCCTCCTCATCGTCTGTCTGGCGAGCACATTCTGGTTGGAGACGGACGGCTACCGCCAGGGCATCTGGAAGCGCTGCGTGTCAGCCGACGCCTCCGTACCGCTGCCGTACAACACGCCCGCAGACGTCGGCTGTTCGCACATCACCGATCCTGAACGTACGTCGCCAACGCCTTCCTACACGCACGCACGCACGCACGCGGGGGTGGGGTGGGTGTGGGTGGGAGGGTCATGGGCGCGCGTGCCGTGTGATGTTTACAGCGAAAATATGGATTATTATTATTATTATGAGTGTGTGATGTGCCAGTGTGCGTGCGTTCGTACGTCAGTACGATGTTTGTGTTTGCGTGACGTGCGTGCGTGCGTGCGTGCGTGCGTGTGTTCGTGTGTGCGTGTGTGCGTGCATGGGTGTGTGGTATAGGTTTCTATACGAGTGTGTGATGTATGAACGTACATAGCTGGCTAACTGCGCGTGTTCGCGTGTGCGTGTGTGCGTGAGCGTGTGCGTGCGCGTGCGCGTGCGTATATGTGTGTAGCTGAGACACGATGAGTACCTTTGTACATTGATACATTCCTCGTACACCGCAGCGGTTTCTCGTTCCCCCGCGGAGTTCAACTATCGAAAAACCTCGAATCATTCTTTTCTCCTACCCCCAAGGGAATTTTACGCTCCAGCGTCCAGCCCCCAATAATACAGGAACCCGATGAGATGTGCGTTGACATTGACCACGCACTACCGATCCGATATTCCCCCGAATTTTTTACCCTTCTCCTCACCCCCGATCTCACGTCGTCGTTTTCATGAAGCAAAAGTATTGACGAATATTCCCGTAACCCGATATACTACGCGCCTGTGTGCAAGATCCTAGGTAGTCTAGAACCTGAGCTACTGGTAAAAAAATATCAACCGGTGACGGCCATCTTGGAAAATGGCCGCCATTCTTGCCATGGGACAAATATGCGATGCTGCTATTATCCTATAGCCAAAAATCTTCATTAGGGCATGCTTTAACAGTGCCAAAGCTTATGCTTGTATCATCAAAATCACAATTCCCTTAAATATTGCACATATCTGCCGGCCTAATTCCTGCGTGCGTGTTAGTAAATCGGCTCGATGCGTCGTGCTATTGAATTCTAGTTCGCTTCCGCCCTCGCGCGTGAATGTGTTTACGACGAATGCGATGCGATCATTGGTGTTAATGCATGGGTGGCGGCAGCATATACACGGCTTCCTTATATACACGGTGGCGAATTACCATCACGTCTTACCAGCCGGTGGTTTATCTTTTGACGGGGAAAAAACGGAGAAGAAGAGAAAAAAGTAAAGCGCATTTGCATATTAATGAAATAACGTCGTTTTAATTCTCTTTCGAAATCTTTTTTTCTCTAAAGTTGACGTGAAGGGATTTTCGATTGGCCGATCGATAGCAACACATAGGCGTCCATCCTCCCCCTCCTCTACTGGTGCAGAGGCGTCCCTCCTCCCCCTCCTCTA